CAGGGAGAGATGGCCATTGATGGAGAAACAGCCTTGAGAATGCAAGAAGGGAGTGATCCAGCACAGGCAAGGAGGCAAGGACGCAAGGCTCCTCTTCCACTGTGACAGAAATGCGGGAGGAAAGGATAACATCAGATGGGTTAGGAGAGCTCTCAGCTCAATTAAGATAAGCTTAACTAACAAAGATTTAAGTACCAATGACACTTAAAGGTATCTCATATGTTGAAATTTCTAGGTGTTGGTAGTTCAAGATTTGGAAAATGACTTTAAACTGTCATTAAGGACCCACAATCCTTCTGTCATTCTGAATTGCCTTCCTCATTGTTTTGTGTGTTCAACTTTTTAAGTTTATGCTGCAGTTACCAACAATGTCCAAATTTCAGTGGTGGCTTAAAACAATGAATGTTTATTTCTCATTCATATTGTGTTGTCTTTGGGTTTTCATTCAAGGATATAAATTTGAGGAACAGCCTCATCCAGAACATTCTATTCTCATGAAAGAAGGAAAAAGGTAGAGTTGAATCATAGAATGGTTCTTTAAGCTCACATTGTATATGGTATATGCTACGCTCCATTGTCCAAAGCAAGTCACATGGCTGCATCCAAGTATCAAGGGTGGAGAAATAGCCTCCTCTCACAGGGAGACATTGCAAGCTACATGGCAATCAGTACCAATATATTATCCTCTGATAGGAAGACAGCAAATAATTGGGTGCATTAATATAGTCTATCACACTTCTTTTTTTTTTTTGAGGAAGATTAGCCCTGAGTTAAAATCCGCCACCAATCCTCCTCTTTTTTGCTGAGGAAGACTGGCCCTGAGCTAACATCCGTGCCCGTCTTCCTCTACTTTATATGTGGGACACCTGCTACAGCATGGCTTGACAAGCGGTGCGTACGTCCTTTCCTGGGATCCAAACTGGCAAACCCTGGGCCCCGGAAGCAGAACATGCAAACTTAACCGCTGTGCCACTGTGCCAGCCCCCATCAACCTTTTAAGATTTCAAAATTTCTGTACAATATTACCTTTCACAACCAGGATAAGAATCAGAATAACGGGTGTACTTCTTTATGTCAAGGAGCAATATGTGTTTGCAATGAATAGATGAATGGTATCATAGTTTGATGTTATTTTCATTAGTAAATTAACAAATGTTGCTCAAAAAAGATGTCAGCAAATACCATATGATTTGAATACAACAAATTTCCAAGAAAATGCAAAAGACAAAGAAATAGTTATTATTTGTTGCCTAAATTACTTTAGAATTTATTTGTGCCAATTCCCAAAGCAGAATGATAATTGCATTCTTCAAGGGCCTGCTCCATTTTTAGTGTGCCTTTCCCCTACAGTCATTGTTGAGTTCTTCGGAAAAATGCAATTCTTTATGACGAATTCTCAGCATGAGATGACTCTTTCTGAAATGTTGAGCAGTGACTTCCAAATTTGTCATGTTAGTACATGTTGGAGAATATAAACACCAACATTCCTCTCCACTGAGCATAATTTTTTTTTTATTAATCTGCAATAATTAAATCTACAGAATGAGTTAAGCATTAATTGCTAGACTCCGTTTTGGTAGCCAAGAGGTTCATCGATACCTCTGTGGCTTTAAAACTTTAAGGTATTGACAGGCCTAATTTGTGAATCTTTTTCTATACAACCCAAAGATATCAGATTGTACTGTGTTATTATCTCTAAATATCCTACAACTTCCCGGTTAAGTCACGCCATCACCCCCGTGATGCTCTAAATCAGCCTGAATTCTTCAAACGGAGGGAGAGTCCGTTAGAGAGGCTTCATGAAGACTTTAAGCCTTATGGTTATTTTGGAAAACAATCCTCATGTGATTTTGATTACAACATATGCAGAATATCTTTGAACTGTTAATATGAACATTAAATATAAAACCATCTTGGAGCTTCTCACGGATTTTGAGTCTGAAAAGGTTGACAGTGCATACAGCACACACTGGCCTATTGGACACACTTGCCAAGTGTCCATTATTCCACCTTCATCTCGAATTGAGAGCAGGAGCATTTGCTTTCCTCTTGGGGTGGCACGAGAGCCTCTGGTTGGCCAGATGCTGATAGAGGCCATATGGGGCTAGGGTCAAGATTCAAGCACCTTAATGGAGAAAGGGTTGGGATAGCCAAAGGATGAGATGCATTAAAAAAATGCACAAAACATTTGATTAGAGGGTAGGGATTTCAAAACACCTATTAATGTTATTGGAAATAAATCAAAACAATGGTTTGTATTGAACTCCTTCCTCCTCTAAATCTGTAGCAACTTGGACAAAATCTAGCGTTGAAATGTCCAGAATTAAGATGTTTCAGTTCCTCCTTCTTCAATCCTCCAGGCTACTCAGCAGCGCTTTCAGCGTGCTGTGCCGCTTCTTAGCATATGAGCCAGGATACTTAAATTTTTTCTCCAGGAACTAATGCCAAGGATTTCAAGCAAAGCATATTAGTAATATTTTTTAAAGACTGTTGTGAAGTGCTTCCAAGTTGGGAAGGTTTAAAATCTTATAACCAAACCCAGGTGTGCACTTATACAACCAATTTTTTTATTGCAATGAAGGGAAATAAGAATCATTGAAATTCATAGTTGACCATAAAATCCCTAATTTTAGTCTTTATATAATTATCTTGCATTCCATTATTTTGTGAGAACTATTGAATATCAGTGAACCAGAATTTGATGGACTTTATATTTTTTCTTTGACCCTGCATACCTTCTATTTATAACCCATGATGAAATGATCAAATTTCAGAGGTCTGAAGGAGGCTCCTGGATAATTCAGAGGCTCTACATTACTAAAATATCTATTTATTATTGGTCTATCTGTCAATCTGTTCTCTACTCTTCTATCTTTCTTTAGGGAGGCACTGAAATTCAGAGTCGGCCTCAAAATTCAGGGCCCAGCCTGGTGGTGCAGTGGTTAAGTGCGCACGTTCTGCTTTGGTGGCCCAGGGCTCGTTGGTTTGGATTCTGGGTGCAGACATGGCACTGCTTGGCAAAAACCATGCTGTGGCAGGTGTCCCACATATAAAGTAGAGGAAGATGGGCACGGATGTTAGCTCAGGGCCAGTCTTCCTCAGCAAAAAGAGGGGGATTGGTGGCAGATGTGAGCTTAGGGCTAATCTTCCTCCAAAAAAAAAAAATTCAGATAAAATCTGTCTTCAGCCTTGGCTCGAGCCTCAGCCTTTAGAAGACCAAATAGAAAATGTCTTTCTAGTGTCATTTCTGACATCCTGACCTTCTGTGTGATCAATGACATAGGTGATTGTCATACCTAACAGGCTCGACAATGTCTGTACCACAAATGAGGCATTCATGTTTATTGTTAATATCCGAATGTTCACTTTCAGGTAAATGTGCCCTTCAAAGATGTAACTTGGAGTAAAACAATACGCTTATATGCTTCATAGATTGAAATTGTAATGGAGAGTTAAAGTATAAATGCATATATAATTGCAAAAGCAAAATGTCTTAATAATTAATCATGATTGCATTAGCAAGGCCATTGGCCTCTCATGCAAGCAATATTCTTTGGTCCAGCTTTTATCAACATGAAAGTAGTCATTTTACGCCCGAATCTCTCTCTCAGTTGGTTCTGAACCTGGGATGTGTTAAAATTTTTGAGATCTACAGAGCAGATGTATTTGTTGGGCCCCCGCAACTCCTCAATTCCATGAACTCCTGAAGCTGAGGTCCGGGTGGGGATCTGACCTGCTATTTCAGTTTTGTTCCCTTATGTTATGGGATTTGTATCCTTTAAATAAGCTGTCGTTTACCTGAGCTCATTTAAGTAGGTTTCTGTTCCTTGCACTAACTTGACATACTAAGCCAAGTACCTTGTATTTCACAAAGCAACTGTCGCTCTTTAAGAGCTCTATACATATGTTTGACTATTGGTGATGAGAATTGTGATTTCTGATGAATGGAAAAGAACATGAAAAGCTGAAATGTGAAGTAACTTTCCCAGAATTATGTGAAGGAGCCTGGAAAAGGGGAAGCAGCAGGAGTCTGTACAAGAAGTGCGTTTTGATGTCGATCACTGGATTTGTGTTCAGATGAGGATTCGCCCCTTCCCAGCAGGCAGAGTCCAGGGCACCACGTTAGTGCCCAGCTCCGAGCTGGTGGCCCCCAGGGCAAGGATTATAGGAACAGGTTTCAGCAGTGGCTCTTTAGGCAAAATAACTTAATTTCTTTCACATAGTTTAAAAATCCTAATATATCTTGTGTAACAGCAATACTTGTAGAAATTTCAAAACTTCAATGGGGGCTTTAATGTTAACTCTCTTTCTCCAGATGTCTTTATTTCAAAGATGGAGAACTGGCAAGTTCTAAAATTAACTTTTATTTATTTAAATTGGACCAGACTAAGATTTCTATTTCAAAATATTATAAGATAAGCTATTACTGTAGCCATTGAGTCTTGTAAAGTCAAATGCTGAGAGGCAGGTAGTGACTGTGTTTTTCTTGACTTGGTTATAACTATTATTAAGGTTTTGGGGAAGGCCAAAAAATAGCACTTTTTTCCCCCTTCTATGTTTGGAACCAAGCGAGAAATGAGGCACAGGGGACGCTCAGGTGGAGATTAAAATGCCGGCTATGGAGCTGAAGCAGCGGCCAGGAGGCTGGGCTTAGCTCTACTGGCAAAGGGGCTGGACTGCACGGGTCCCTGCTCACTCCTAGGCACAGCTGGACAGCTGCAGGCCCCCTCAGCTCACCCCGTGGCCGAGACTCCCCCACGTGCAGACAGAAAGACCAGGAAGACGTTGAGGACTGCTGAGCTGAGCTGGCTCGATTCTTTCTCCCAAACTCACAACTGAAAATCAACTTTTCTCTCAAGGGCAGGAGTGAGTGAGGGCTGGAGGCGGAGAGATGCAGCCGTGCTCAATCTTGGCAGCACATTAGGACTACAGGGCAGCTTTAAAAATCCTGATGCCAAGGCCCACCCTAAATGAATCACACAGAAATTTCTGAGGGTGAGAACCAGGTCTTAGGATTTTTAAAAGCTCTCCACGTAGATCCACTGTCCAGCCCAGTGCTGCACTGGGGACTCTCCATGTGGAAGCACGAGGCCAGGGAGGGGCGTTTACCTGCCACCGTTGCCAGAGGGAAAACTGAACCAAGGGTTTCAGAGTCTTCTTGGGCCCCGCTAAGAGAGAGTAAAAATAACTGTGTCTTAGTCTGTTGAGACTGTGCTAGCTTGTCGCTTAGAACTGCATAAATGTCCGCAAGCATATTTTGCTGTTGAGGGAAGGTAATCCAGTGAAGGGTTGGGATTCTTTCTTTGTACACGCATTGTTTAAGCCCCGGTAAATGAGTATTCTCTTCTAAAAATAAATCCACTCAGGAAAAGTGAAGATTTGAGACAATATTTGGGACAACTAAACACTGCAAGTGGTTGTGTGTGTGTGTGTGTGTGGCCTGAGGACACATAGGCTTAGTGACACGGTTCACCCTCTGCCTCCCCCTTCACTGACATGGCCTTATGGCGGACACCTGTGGAGGTGAGTGTCCAGCAGAGTCCCAAACAATCTGCCCCTACTGTCTTGGGGATATTTTGGGGAAGGGAAAACACAACAAAAACACTTTGGTGTGCAAATGGGACAATGCTATCGTTTCACCAACAATTTGCATGGACAATGGGAAGAACGTTCTCCTCCTCAATTTCTCTTGTCTCCTCACCTTTGGGCCATTCCTCTCTGAATGTAAATCTCCCTCTAGTTACTATCCTGTTCCCGGTTGCCAAGGATAATCAATAACTGGTTGTACTTGTGTAGATGGAGAACAGTTATTGCTACTTCTGCGGAAAGGAAAAGTACTTCACAGAATCTATCCTAAGGATGGTAGGTCATCAGTAATCCTACCATTAGTTACTGAGTCATGATTGTGGGGTTATCACGATCTAAGCACTACAGATAACGGAAGTAAGAGAGAGAGCTCTAGCCCATGCAACTGAGTAGCTGCTCAGGCAGATAATACACTTGCACAAATTTAAATATCTGGATATGATCTTAGTGCTGAAAAAAAATCATGAGTTACAAGCTCTAAGTTCTGTAGTGTTGAAGAAGAAATGATCTGGATACCTCAGGAAGTCTTGCTGAAACATCGTCTCCTGCCTGATGACTGTGTGAAAGCCAGCTATGAGAGGAGGTCTGTTTTTCCTAAGTGATGGTCAACAATGCTCTGTATTTGCCTGTCTTTTTATTCTGATGCTTTGACACCTGGGGCCTTGCTGACCTGGGAGGATGGTCCCTCCCACGGTTAGCTAATCCTTACAGATTGTAAACATCTCTCTAGGGAGTGTGCCTTTCACATGTCAGCCAACCCATACAGAGCCTACCCCGCACCCTGACCCCTTCCTTCATCAGACTCTGACAATCAGGCCACTCTTTACCTGCCTCAATTGCTCAGGGCCAGTACCACACAACTAGGGGCAGCCCCCGTGCCCTGGAGCCCATTGAAATTATTCACACTAGCTGATCCTAAATCTGCTCACTGTGCCTCTCCCGTCCTTCCCGAGGAAACCACAACAAACCTCCCACCCACGTTTTCCCCTCACTCCCTCTGCCTCCTGACAGATCCTGGTGCTTTCCCGTGTGGCCCTGCCTGGTCCGGGGTGCCCCTCTTCTCTGGAACTGTGAGGAATAAACTATCTTTCCAACAGCTATCATCTCTTGATCAGTCGGCCTCACCATATCTGAATGGTAATAAAACCTACGTTTTCAAACACAACCTTCCCCTCCTGCTTTGGAGCGCAGTCTGTGTGTGAGAGTTGGTGTTTCCACGCGTCTGCTTGCTAGCAAGATTTCTGACGTATTGAAGGTGAGGGCTGGGGGATCAAAAGTAGTTCAGATAGCCTTGACATTGATACAGCCTCTACCTTTCTTTCATAGACTTTCCCACTCACCTTTAACATGTTCTCCTTAAATATATTCAGTGTTTTTAAAAAAACTTTTTATTTTGAGATAATTGTAAATTCACATACTGTTGTAAGAAATAATGCAGGTAGATCCCTTGCACCCTTCACCCAGTTTCCCCAAGTGGCAACACTTTGCAAAACTACAGCACAATGTCACAACCAGGAAGCTGACACTGGTACCGCCCACAGATCTCACTCAGCTTTCACCGTTTTTACCTGCACCCTTGTGTGAGTGCATTTAGTTCCATCGTGTGTGCAGATGCCTGTGACCACCACTGCAGTCAGGGGAAGAGCGGAGAGCAGTCCTGTCATGAGGATCCTCTGTGCTGCCCTTTCGAGCCACAGCTGACTTCCACCCCACCCTTCTCCCTAACTCCCGGCAACCACTAACCTGTCCTCCAGCTCTATAATTTTGTTATTTCAAGATGTTATATAAATGGAATCATACAGTATGTAACCTTCTGAGATTTTTTTCTACTCTACATATTTCCCTTGAGATCCAGCCAAACTGTTGTTTGTATCGATACTCTGTTCCTTTTTATTGTTGAGTAATATTCCACAGTATGGCTGTTCCACAGTTTGGTTAATCATACACCCATTGAAGGACATTGGGGTTGTTTCCAGTTGTTTAAAAAAACATGTATTTGGCATCTATATTAGTCTCCAGACTCCACATTTATTGCCTCAAACGTGCCACTGTTCTAGTTATATTCTTATTCTTATCTTCCACGTCCTCCACGTGGCATTCCTCTGTCCCTACCAGCATCATTGGGCACTTTAAAGGAGGAATCTTTTTCGAAATCAGAGGACAAACCCTTCTTTACCTTCAGGATAATTACTCACTTTCTGCATGCCTCATTCCTCGGGATTATTATTTACTTCTTTTTGCTTCATTTTCCCCTCCTATATATGGAGCTAGTCAGTGTTTCTATTTCTAGTGTTGAAAAGGTTAATGTGATCACTTCAGTTTACAGGGTCTGAGAAAAAAAGGGCCATATAAATTATTCAGATAGAAAAGTATGAATCAATTCATCCAACCAGAGCTGAAGTTCTAGGCAATCAAAAACAGCTTCCCCAGCTGCTGCCACCTCTCCTCGGCCAGGCCCTTTCCCAGTAACATTTAATTCCCAGAATTCTGTCTTTCCAGGGGTCCAGTGTTTAGACTTTGTTCAGGCACCAACCACTTAGTTAAAGTTGGCAGACACACCAGATTATTCATTATCAGCTACTGAAGAAAGAATTAGCTGGACCTGCATAGGATTAGACTTGTAACTCAATTAAGATTATTAATTAGAAAGATGACTTGATAAAGTTCAGGCAGAGGCCACATGCATTCTCTCTTCAGGCTAAAAGTTTGCCTTTATTGTAGACTGTTTAATATGACTTACTTTTATTCATCCAAGTACCAGAAAGGAATGCTTATGCATTTAGAGCCATCATGCTAGAATTTTTGGAAATTCAGACTCATTGGAATTCCAACCAAGACTACCTCTGGCTAAGGACAGAACGTCCCAGGCTGAAATACCACTGTCTGAGCACCCTGGTTCTCTTAGCCATAAGCTGGAGGGGAACTGAGGCCCTTGTCCCCGGCTCGAGGCCTCTGTCACCCAGCATGATGGCTCCAGGGGCGGAGTTGTACCAGGAATCTGATTTCCAAATTTTCCCCAGTAATTTTGACGATCAGCCAGGTTTGGGGAAGCTGTCCTAGGGGACATCTCAGGAAAGCCCCTTCCAAGTCTTTGCCTCCTCCTTGAAACAAACAGGGTCAGGAAACAACACAGAGATTGAGATACAATTGACTTGAGGACCCTGGGGGGCGAAGCTGGAGATCTCCTAGTTTCTGAAGGTGGATGTCTCAGAGGAAGCTGTGTGGTGTGGCTGGTGGGCCCAGTGTCTCGTTGCCTTGTTCTGAGGCAGAACAAGCAAGAATTTGGCAATTTTTAGTCTCTGTCAGCCTTAGTGGGAGAGGTTAGGATGGGTGTTCTCTTAGGTCACTTCTAGATCCAAAGATCAACAGCCTGCCTGGGAAATCCAGCCTCCTTGTACAGATTGTAGCACCTGCAGTAAGGGCAGGCTGATTCTGGGGGCCTGGGAGCCTGAGCAGAGGGAAGCATGGCCTCTGTGAGGAGGACGGAAGACTGGACAGATGCTTCATAAATGTGAGTGAATGAAGGTGTGGCTGAATCAGTGAACAGATGGTATGGGAGATCTCGTCGCCTAAGACATCTGGGTTGCTGTGTCCACAAGTAGATTTCCTCTCTGTGCGTGCTTCTCAAAGATCCTGACCCAGCTCTGCCTCCTAGGTCTGGAGTCCCGGGAGAGGCACAGGAAGACTGCTCGCATTAGAAACTCTTTCTGTCACTTCTGTGCTGTCTGAAGGGACCTCACTAAAGATAAACAGATAAGTAAATATCTGTCTCCAGAACCCTGCAATCCCACATATTGGCCCGCTGGTAGAGTTCATGAAGAAACCAACACTGGCTCTATAATGTCATCCAGCACATCAACCGGAGACCATAAAGTTTCTACTCCTCAAACACTGGTAATGCCGTGAGAGGGGATATATATCCTTTCCAATTCTCATTGAAGCTGTGTCCTGAAAAGTAAAGCTCAAGACATTTGGTTTTCAGAGCAATAACACATGTATTGATTAAGAAAGAAGAGAGTTGTCATCTCTCTATATTTATAATCTTCAACTTTCAAATTGGAAATAACTACAATCATACGATAACTCCCTTCAGAGAGAGTGTGGGGCGTTCTCCGGTGCTTTCTGTAACCATCAGGTAAATACACTCAGAGTACGGAGGGTCTATTTAACTAAGGCACAAAAAACCTTGCAAACTGGATCTTCTGAAGAGCAGACATCATGTACGGTGCTAGGCTGGTACACACCTTGGAGCATCAAAGATGAAATAGTGTATTCAAGCTTAGGATAGTATTACCCATTAAACAAAACAGAAGTTCTGAGTAACCAACTTGTTTACCTTTGGGTACCTAGTGTAAGGGAGATACTTCGCTGAAAATCAGAACAAGGCATGTGCCTGTTACAATAATTGCTGGAGCAAATTATCATGGATTTGAGCAACATTAGTAGAGCTCTGATTTCTAGAAAATTAAAAACAGGCAAAAGGAATTTTATTATAAAAGAGGAAAAGTTTTATGAACATTGAAAGAGAAGTGAAGCTAATTTGTGAGGCTCTGTAGATTCAAAGTCAATTTGTTATTTGGCACATATTCCATACACCTGGTTTGTTTCTAAACATCACACGGCAGGTAAATTTAAAAGTAAAGTATTTCAGATAAATATCAATTTGCTAATTTAATATAGTTTTGGTTTCCTTGCTTTTAAGCAGGTAAAGCTACAAGGCCTTGCATTTTCCACAGCATCTGGAGAGCACCTTCCTGTGAGCCCGGAGTCGGAGGCGCCTTGCTGTGGGAAGCAGTCAACCCCGCGATTCTCACTTGCACTTCCAGTTTGGAAGTGCTTAGGTGCTCGATGTAGATTTCTGAGTGAATAAATGGATGAATAGGATTTCCCGTGAGCAACAAAAGAATGCTACTTTGTGTTTATCTTGCTTTAAAGAGAATAGAATTACTTAATAAGCATATAGATGACACTATAAATTCAAAGGCAAAAAGAAGTCCTTAATGGTTCTGAGTTTCTGACCATATTGTCTGGACAAGTCCCAGCTGACCTCACACTTTGATCATTTTAAGTGTCGATATTATCTGATCATTCTCTACTCACTGTTGTAGGCTTTGCTTTTCAAGCCCCACAGCTGTGGTCTGTGAGAACAGCAGTCCAGAATCACAGCTGCCTTTTTGCAGTAGATTTCTCCAACACCCAGGAAACACAATGTTCTGTTTTTCTCCATTTTCATCATTCCTTTAATTCTTTTATTAGAACTCTTTTGCTCCATGCCTAGAATATTTCCTGTTGGGAAGCTGGACCCTTGGGATGACGCAGGAGGACCGTGCCCTGTGGGGCGTTAGTAGCTGTCCTCCCAACAACCCGCTTCCTCCCCAGTAACACCAGTTGATAGTTTTTCTTTGAAAATTTCTCTCTCTCTCTATTTACCTATGTTAGGAAAACTCTACACATTTATAGAATTATTTCTTGCTAGTATGTGATAGTCTTCCTTCCAGAAGCCAGAAAGAATGCATATGATGCTTTCTGTGCACCGCTGCATGAGCGGCACTTACCAGCCAGCTGTGGAAGTACTTCTGTGCTCCCTCCAAGAGTCTCTGGAATGTGGGAGGGATTTGATGTTTAATTTTGTAACCCAGGTATCTTCTGAGTCTCGTAAGATTCTAGCAGAATGACACACCTTGTGAATGAAGCGTGGCCTGTACAGGTTTCCCCAGAAATCCGCTTGAGCCGAGAACGAATAAGTCCTGGTGGGACTGAGAAAGACCTAGGGGTTTAAGGAAGAGCCGCCTGGCCCCTCTCTAGGAGCGTGCTCTCTTCTCTCTCCTCCTGTGTCTCCTCGCAACACCCTCGACACCAGATTGCTAACAGCCTTCCACCTCCGCCTGAGCTCCAAAGCCTTGTTTCTCCCTCACTCACGCACTGCCCTTCCCTCCTCCCTCTGGATTCTTGTCAGGCAGCTGACAACTAGGTCTGACTCCTCAGGACAGTCCTTAGAAACACAACAACAACATAAACAGAAGAACAAAACTCTCCCTCAGAGGAATTTTGATTAATATTTTTTCTACCTTGTCACCTTCGTGATGTTATTCAGCATTGTAGGTTAAACATTTATAATTTTTAAAACTCCCATTCGTCAAGGATCTGAAGCTGCTGGAAGGAATTTTTAACTGTAAACGAGGGCCCCGAAGTTCACAGACTGTACTGAGAGAATAAAGACAAGAAAGCAAAACATACTTTGAATACTTCAAAAGGCAGATGAATAATCAAAATCTCTAATTTCTCTAAAATTTGAAGATGTTCAAGATAAAAAAAATAACTGAAGAGCTTAACTGACCTGAATAATGCAAAGTATACAATTTTTGCATGGCTGTCTGCATAAAACCAGATATTTGTCATAGTGTGCATCACAAATAAGGTAGAAGTCAGCTTGATGTTGCACCTGATCTGAGAGACCAAATCAGCACGATTGTGCCTAATACTACGAAGCTGATTAAAAGACTCGAAAAGAGTTTCTCATAAACATATTTGCCTCTGTAAATGACATGTATCATAAGAGAAACTTAAAGTGAAAAAATTTTACTTTATTCCTGTGTAGTTAATTCCTAATAAAATAGAAACAACTACTTTTTTTATAATGTAAAAATAACTTTTGATGACATCTTGCAGCAACTAATTTGTATTTCAGATCATCTTTTTCCTCTGCTGTCAGTTTTAATCCCAGCATGCATCACAGTTTAAGAGCTCCTATTGTTTTAAAATTATTTGATAATTTAGCAAGTGTTCTGAAGCCAGATACTTTGGAAAGTGTTACATGAGGTCATTCGGGACCCTGGGTGTGGATGCGGAGTTTCGGAGTGTGTGTCCCTCCACAGCACACACTCACACCGTCACCTTGTTAGTCCCTACCTTTAGCCAGGTCATGTCCCCCTTTCTCTGCTGCACTCTGAGCCTCTGTCCACAAGGCATCAAGCTGGTGCCCTTGCCCTCTGGCCTCCAGTGGGCTTCATCCAATGAGGGGCATTGACAGGAAATCAGAAGGCTGGAAGAGAAGGAAGTGGGGTCTTAATGCTTTGCAGCCTCCTTGACTCACTGTGGTTTTGTAACAACAAAAGGGTTTTGTCCCTAACTGATGATCTTAGCTCCTGTAAGAAGGTTCCTTTCCTGTGGCCACAGCTCTCCTTGGATTTTGGAAGCTCTCTACTCATTCCTTTTCCCTCACGACCTGGAGTGCTAACATTTCCCCCACTGTTGCTAGTCCCTGGGAGCTTCATCATCTTCGGTTAGTTCTTTAATCCTGCCTATACCTTTAAAATAGTGCTTTTACTAAATTATCTTTAGTTATACCACTTGAGTATACCTTATGTGTTTAGTAAGGCTTGACTAACAGAGTAATGACTACCAACTGTAGCCTCAGGAAGTGCTCCCTCAAAATTAGATTACTTTCATACTTTATGAGCACTCATATACTCTCTCTGGGGAGGATGGGATATTCACAATCTGTGGATGTCGTAGCACCATAATTTCTCAGATCATCACTGGTGGACGCACTGGGTGAAGTTCAACACTGGATATCCAACGGCCGCTGCTTTTAGTTGCTATGACAGCAGCGAGTGAAAGTATTATGGTTGGGGCTGGGCTAGCTGTGCCAACTGCCCTACAGAAAATATAGGAGTGAAACTGCAAAGCTGAAGTCTTACATTCCCAGCTCAAGCGACTGGTAGAGAATCCGAAAGCCTGGGTGGTAGCTTTAAGGAATCCCTTATTTCCTGTGGTGGCAAGGCCAACTTGGATGAGGTTCAAGATGAGGGCCTACCTGTAAAGGTTGTAGAGCTCCCACACCAGTTCAGTATTCAACCCTCCAGGTCTCTTACTCTAAGATAAGAACATTGCTAAGAGGGCTGGGATGCTGAAGGATAGAATGAAAATCTTTGGGCATAAATAGATGAGGTTGAGAAATTTGATATGCAAATCTCCCTGAACCTTCCTTGATAAACAGAATTAGTTCCTCCACCACCTGAGGGAACTAGACTTCCTTTGCATAAAAAAACCTTCAATGACTTCACCTGGGGCAGTTACCTTACTCGAGCTGCTAGTTATGCTCAGGCCCCACCTCCACCTCTCCTCTGGCTTCCAGGCATCAGGGGCTGCGCTTTCACAGACAGAGCTTACACACCAAAGGAGTTGAGGACCTTGCCAACTGGTATCCTCACGGGTTGGGGGTGTGCATATTTAAATGGATCCTCCATGTGTAAGAATAAGGAGGACAGAATATAAGATTGGAACGGATCAAGTATATCTACATGGGAGCATTTGCTTGGGACTTGAGAGCTGGTGTGTTGACTCAAACACCCAGGAGTGGTATGAATGCTACCAGGTTGGATCACAGAAACCTGGACTACATGGTGCCTACTCAAGCAGTATCAGATGTCAGAACTGCCCTGTCATACTGTGGAAAGGGAGTCCAAAGGCTCAGGGAGATGGGAATGTTGGAATGTATCTATCATTTGCAAACTGCTCAGCTAGCCCCAAACATAACCCCTGGGCCCAGTGCACATTTCCCTGAGGAGCCAAGACATGAAGAAATGCATTGGTGGACTATGGTTAGCTGAAGACAATGGCAGCTGCTTAGGTGTGAATGTCCTAATATTTCTTTCAAATGCAATATAGAACAACAACAAGAAAAAATAAAACCACCTGAAAATCATGCCCTTGGCAGAAGTTGAAGATGGACAAAGCCCAAAGTCCAGATTAGTCAAAGTAAAGAAACAAACAAAACCCCTCACCAATTTCATTGAGTAAACAGGAAAAACCAAACTCCAGTGACTAACCTACTGCAGAGCTTTGCTACAAGCAAGAACACACAAAGAAACACACCAGGACGAGAGAAGGAGGTAGTTAATGAATAGCCTAAGGTTTATATGAAAAAACTCCTAGAAAAAGTAAGTCCACGCTGGGTGTAAAAATATTACAATGAGTGTCCTGGTAGATCAGGGCACATCCAACAGAAAAGGGACTCGAGAGAATGTATGACATAAAGTGGCAGTTTTCAAAACCCTTAGCTTCTAGGAGAGAAAAAAGCATAAAGGAAAGGAAAGGTGAACTTTGGCAAAGGAAAAGGGAAAAATTTAGGGTCTTGCAAGAAAAAAAAGAGAACCAAAGTATTGGAGGCCACACAACACTTTTCTCCCTATTAAAAAATCCACAAAAGAAACTGGACTTGGCTACAATGAGAGAGGAGGGTTCCACTGATGTGGAATCTTGTAATGTATGCCAATTCTAAATAAGTCAACAGGAAAAAATTGAATAGACCCATACAGAGTTATTATGACAAATCAGAAAATAATTTTGAACACATCTCCACTGCTGAAGATTCTCCTGCAAAAAATAGCCATGAAATAGAAGAAAATTGTAAGACGACATTCCAATCTGAATTGAATATATTCAAATAAGCTTTTAGAAATATAAAAACCACCGTGTATCAGAAATTAAGAGAATATATGAATGGAAATAGACAAAAAACCAGGAAGAAATGAAAAGAGAGTTGATTGAATTCAAGAAAGAAAGGGAAGAAAAATAAAATTACCTCATAAATGAATAACAAATTGTAAGATATCTAAAGGAGAATAGACTCAAATGAAAATTTAATAAGGAGCATTGAAGAAAGGCAGAAAAAACAACTAAGAGAACAGACCAAGGTAAAAAAATAAGCAATGAGAAAGAAGACCTAATGAACATATGCGGTCATGGGTGCACGTACAACCTTACACTGTGATAATTATTTACTTCATTTCAAGTGCCCACGGGGTGTTCACAAAAACGGATCCTGTATCAGGTCACAAAGAAAAAATCAGGAATTATCAGAAAGAAGAAATATTTCAAAGGACACTATCTGGTCACAATGCAATAAAACTAAAAATGATTAAGCAAAACCAAGGCAAAAATATCCTTTCATTTGAAAATTTTAAAACCTTCTATTAAACAGTGCTTAGGTAAAAGTGGAAATACAAATAGAAATTAGAGATTTTCCTTTTCTTTTATTTGGTAAGGAAGATTTTCCCTGAGCTAACATCTGTAATCTTCCTCTATTTTGTATGTGGGGCACTGTCACGGTGGCACTTCACGAGCCGTGCTAGATCCACGCCTGGGATCTGAACCCTGGGCTGCTGAAGCAGAGTGCGTAAACTCAACCACTACGCCACTGGGCCAGGCCCCAGAAATTAGAGAATTTTAAACAAATTAATGATAATGAAAATGATGCACATCAGAATCTTTGCATACATTTAAATAAGTTGATGAGGATTATTTTGGGCTGGTTACTTTTAAAAACTGCAGACGGGAAGGAAACTCTGAAGGATGGGATTTGCTTGCCCTTTGTTAACAGACATTTGCATTTGTGAAGGAAATCTCCATCTGTGGGGTTGTCTCCCTCTTTGCACCAGGAGGAAGGGGGGATGACCTTATCTCTAGAAACTCTTAATGGGGAAGGCAAGGACTTAAGTCTGTCTAATAATCTTACTCTTGTTTACTGTACTTGTCTGGTAACCTCATGTAACTGTCCCCCCGCCCCCCCCCGCCCCCCCAACCAGCATCCTCCTTTGTCTTTAGCTGAAGATAATATTTAAGGTGGTGGCTTCAGCCATTTACTTAATCTGATCTGATTCTTATCTAAAGTTATAGGACCACCCAATAACCAGACCCCACCCGCACTGAGATCATTTTAATGACTTTTTTTGCATATTCTTTCCTTTGTCTTGTAAAGAGATAACTCACATACCTACGCCTTAAATTTAGCCCTACCCTCAACCCATGTTTGCAGCTCTTACTGCCCATGGGTCCTGTCCCCTTGCTATTCCACACTATTCTCTGAATAAAAGAGCACTACTGCCAGACTTTGAGAGTCCAAGAAATCTTTCTTTCGACTCTTCAACTCACCGAGCGTGCATCATAAATGATCAGCGATAGAAGACTAAGGTCCTTCTTAATCTACGTAAGAGGAAAAATTCTAAATCTGGCGATGGGCAAAAACCTGGCTCAAATTACTGTAGTGAGTACTCACTTCCTCATGTTCGGTTCTCACTTTTAAGCCTGTTCACAGATCCAGAGCCCTTTATTTAAAGAGGAGGCCAGGTTCCTTAAGTAAGGGCATGGAATTCCTTCCTCAGATGTATATTGTGCATCTTCCTTGAAGCCCTCCACAGATTGCCTTCAGCCATGGTCCCCACTAGGGAAAGGAAATAGTTATTTCAGCAGTTATTAATACTGGCTCTGAATTGGATGCTATTCTGAGAATCTAAAATGTCCCCATAATTAAAAGTGGGGCTTATGGAGGTCAGGGGATACAAGTCTTGACCTGAGACCTTCTTATAATGGATTCAGAAGGCCCACAAGATACAAACTTATTTTAGTTCCAATCCCAGAATGTACAGATAGAATACATACAACACAAATGTATAGTAACTGGCAAAAGCACCAGTTTCTAATCTGTGTAGTGAAGATTATTATAATAGAAAGGGCCAAGAAGAAGCCCCTGGAATTGCTCCCTCCCTGCCATTCCTCACCAAAATAGTAAACCAAGAGTAACACTGCCTTCCTGGGGTAAGGACTTGCACCAATCTTCAAAGACTTGGAAAGATGCAGGTAGTGATTTCTATTACAACTTCACTGAACTCACCCGTTAGGCAGGCACAAAACAGGATGGATCTTGCTGAATGAATGTGGATTATCATAAGCTTAATGCCAATGGCTACTGCTTTCTGCATGCTGTATCATTACCAGAGCCAATATCTCTTTGTACATGAGGTGTACACTACGTACCAATTCTAACCAGCCAAAGCAAGGAGAAGCAGACCGCTTTCACTTGGACTAACAGCCGTACATTCACTGTCCTATATCAGGGTTCTGTCAATTTTGCTCTCTCACAATATAGTTCAAGTCACATTGTCTTGATCTCCCATAGAACATCCTGCTGGTTGATATGGTAATTGGACCTGGAAATCAAGAAATGCCAAGCATCTAGGCAGAGACAATATTAGTGAGAGA